CGCGCGGTTTTGCGAGACGCGCGGGGCGACGGAATATTATTAAAGACATACCTGATTTACGAGCAATTTCAAGGCGTGCATCTCGGCGTCGAGCTGCTTATTCGCCGCGATGGCTGCGTCGATACATTTGCACAGCACCGCCGTCACAGGCACGTCTTTATTTACAGGCACAGGTGGCGAATCCCGCTCGAGGCCGTCGGACATGTATTTGAAGGAGCAGGCGAGCAACTGCAGTTGTTTCATGGAATTCATTGTGATGGTGAGGGCCTCCTGGAAACTGTGACCGAAATAAATATTCGTACGTGACTCCCTAAAAATAAAGTGCCGGATGCCCCCAAACACATCCCTATCGAATAAATACACACGATCGCCACCCTCTTGGAAAAATGGAGCAAAGAAATGGGATACGGATCACAAGGGGCTGCTCGGCTATTTGTGCCCGGCAATAACTTGAAAGCTGGAAATCGTTCGGTATTTCGGTCGTTGCCAATCTTGATTTTTCTCTTTCTCAAAGCACACTGGAGAGAAGAGAACCGTTGCGGAATTCGGATGGACCTTTTGTCAATATCACTTAAAAGGACGTTGATTGCGTCTCTTGGAGATAACAACGTGATGCATGAAACATTCATTTTTCATCGGCAATATAAACGTACTACCAGCAAAACAAGAGATATTGGCCGATTTATTTATTTGTTTGGGAAAGAAAATAATGTAGTTTGTATTGATCAAAAACGTATATTCCTGTATTTTTGAAATTGCGGAAAAGGCAAAGACTGAACGCAATCTGGTAAATTAAATTTCATTCAATTCAATTCAATTCAATAAATTTTTATTCCATTTTAGATCAAATATTTACAACGATCTTTGGAATAAGTCTAATTATAATTAATTCAACATTCCACATTCATTCAAGTTCACACAGCAGATACTCATGGATATCATAAAATAATTTGTCGTAGAACAACTTCTTCACTTCACCAATAAAAATATTAGTATCTTTAATTCGCTTCAATCTCTCCGGAAGCTCATCTAAGTACGACAATCTTTTGCTGTTCAAAAAGCTTGATTTTAATTTTAAAAGGGTAGCAAACTAGACACATAAGAGCTGCTGTTTTATCAGAGGTAATTCCAAATAAAGCAAAATGATTGAATAAACATTTTGTGCTGACATGATATAGACACGGGGGCTGTTAAAATCAACATGATAAAAGAGCAGACGTCGATCGAACGGGGAATGAATACATTGAAATTACTTCCACGCATTGGGTCGCCAATCGATCACCCGTTGAACCATTTAGCAGTTGATAGGGTATAAAAAATTTATCAGTGGCAAATGAATTATTAATTTGATTGTTTGCAAACAAAAATCGGCACCAATTGCACTCACAATCGGTATCGTCGCTTTTTGTAAAACTCTCGTGATTAATCTGCGGCGAAGGGAGGCGATAAATCTAGTCTGTTTTCACTTTCCAGATGCATATCAACCTGTCCGTGAGACCGCGGGAGCGCGCTTAATTTAAATTTATTTGCTCTCGGCAAGAAAAACGCGCGGACAGAAATGAAGAAAGAAGTCGGCAAAATAAACAAACAAGTTCAAAAGCCGCAAGAAGAAGTGGTGCTCTGCGGGTTGCTGAGCTCTTAATGGAAAAATAATTAAAGCAATGTTGGTGCGGCCGCGCACTCTATCAATTACCTAATGGCTGTGCCGCGGGTCAAGGGCAGCGACTCCTCCACCCACTCCTTCATGTGGAAATTCTTGACGGCCGCCTGGATTTCCTTGCGAGTGCTCGACAGCGCGACTCCAATGGTCTTCAAGTCGTCATCAGTCAGCAGGAGGAACGCTTTCATTGTCACATTGGCTTTCTCAAATAAGGGGATTGTCTCTTCCGCCCCGGTGCCCATCAGAATTGTCGATATGGCCGGGTCGTACATTCTGAAATTCCAAACGCAGCTCCAGTTAGAGCTATAGACAGCGGAGAAAGGGCCAGAAAAAAAATAAATGCCCGGGAAAACGGCGCGCGGCCTTACTTATTGGTGCACGCGAAGATGGCTTCGGCGTCGAGATCGTGTTCCCTGATTGAATTCACGCCTCTCTCAATCACTCGCATTTCCTGCGAAACACATAAGCAAACAAACACGACTTTATTTCCTTTATTTCATTTTGCAATAAACGTAAAAGCAAACATGGTGAGATGCGATTGAGTGAAAATAGAAAAAAAGCTGCAAAAATACATGAGGAACAACTTCATTGATGTTATATGTATCGTCTTTCAATTTCTACTTCAATTTCATATAAAATTCTAGCAATTAATTTAACGTCGCTATATTATTAGTTTTATTAAAATCATTTCAAAAAAAGTTAAATTATTACCCCGAGTCAAATTTTTTCTTTCCTGCTTGAAGAATTACTCTAAATAAAAAAGTATTTTCCAAATTTTGTTTCAAATTGAAAACACTAAATTAAAAATATCAGGCTCATAAACAGCTCATAAAGGAGTGGTGGGCAATGGTTAAATTTTTTAATTATTCTTATAAATTAATTAAAAATGTTTTTTTTTCTACAAATTAATAAGACTGTATTTTGTATTTCTACGCATGCTGAAGTGAAATCGATACCAACGCCCTTGAATGTATTGCTTGGGCAGTGAGGAAGTCAATGATATGTTTCTGCAAGCGCATGGAAGGACAATTTATCACCACGCGCTTTTTCCCGGCCGATAAGGCTTACGTGGCTCTGACAAAGCGATACTTGATATTTTCAGGTTTTTGCCCTGATTTTTCGCGCCTGCTGCTGCTGCGAATATTTCTCTTTCTGTTTTGATTTGATGTATTCGCGGCGCGACGAAGCGCGTCACCAAGTGCGCGAATGGAGCCAAAAAAATTGCAGTGTGTGGCTGCGCGTAAAAAATTATCAGCACCGAGAGAGCGCGCAAACAAATTGAAATAAATTTCGATCGGTCTGCCGCACGCGCGAGCGAGCGAACAAGCAACCAGCCGGCACCGTCAGACTTGAATAGCGGCAATTTCCGCCTTCGGTTATAAATAATTCAGGCGGCGAAAGTAAAAACATTTGCAACATTAAAGGCAGCGAGAGAGATTTTGTCCCGCGCCGCGAGACGGGCCGCGCGAGAAAGAGACTCATCGGAGACACGACGCACTTTTTATTTGTTTTCCCTCTCGGTGGAATACAATAAATCAATTTCACTCGTAACTCAGACCCGGGAAGCGATTGCGGAGATAAATCTCGGCGAGCGTTTCTTCCACCCGCAGAGACCGAAAGACTGCCAAGGAGGCGAATTCGCGCCTCTCTCACGTTGTTAGTCTCTAACGCAATTATTTCGCTCTAATTTGCTGAGCCGAGCGAAAATTTGTGTGCGCGGTTTGCATCTCCCAACAAAGCAGCGGCCACTTTGATAATTAGGCTCAGCTCTACTCGAAACATCAATTTGTCATTTAATTTTAAACAAGAAAGGAGGATATTGCATTAGTACTGATCGTTTGTAAAAATGCAATGTGCATGAATTATCATAAATTTAAAATATTCAGTCAATTCTCAATGGCAGCTCCAGTTAAGTTAGCTTGATTTGAAAAGATTTTAAAAGAAATAAATACCCAGGAGTGATAAAAATTTTAGAGAATACTACCAGAATCTTTAATTTTTTGATGGTTGGAAATTTAAATTATATATTCAGGAATAAATTCTTTGACATTTTGGAAGTAGAGTCTAATTGAAAAAGGTCAATTCAAACACATGTATAATTATATTTTTAGGCCAGTGTATTATAGTCAGCTTTTAGAAGTAGAAAAAGTCAATGTATTTTCAGTTGATATAAATTTGGTAAAAATACTGATAGTGAATTAAAAAGAAAAAAAAATCAGAAGTTGGTGGTGCAAAATTTAAAATGTGTTTATTTATCTATTTATTTTAAAGATTGCACTTAAAATATTTACTCTGTTTATTCTCTTGGATTTATGCGTTCAAATTAGTGTTTTGAATTGTAAATTGAAGCTAAATTTTGGAAAAATTACTTATAAGGTAAATTTAAACTATTGAAATTCAGTAAATTAGAATATACATTTTTCATCCATTGATGACAATTTGAATTATCTTATTGCTTCATTTAAATGCTTAAAAAGCAGAAAATAAAGTTTTAAAAAATAAGGACATTTCACAATTTTTTAAATTTCATGACAATTATGGTTGATAGTTTGGAAAAGTCTGGAAACACCTACTTTTAATAAAGAAAATGTCCTAGAGTCTGCTATAGTTTGAAATTGAAGTTAATCTATATAAATGGGTGTTAATAAGCAGAAAATTACGTAATTTGATCAGAAATTTCATTTTTGTTCAGTTCAGCGACGTATAAAAAAGTTAAGTTAATGTTCATGCCTATTTGTATATTATATTTCAAATTTCTTTTTATATTCAAGAGGTTTAGGAGGTCACCAACAGCAGACTTGCAAACTGCTATATGAGACAGAGTAGTTGTGAAGGTGTCGCATGGCAATTTCCACTTGCGAGCAAAATTTCCGCCGGTCGTAAAACGAACAGCCTGTGCGCGGATGCATCATAACGAGCGAAGGAGCGCTCAATGCAACTCAGAGCCCCTGCGTTGCAACCGGTGGCTGACCCGCTTTGCAGGCGCGTCGGCCCGGTTGCATACAAACTGTTTGCCAATCGCTCTGCCGACAATCAGCCAAGCTTGGCAGGCCGGCATTATGCGAGCGAACGACGTGCGAAGCGCTCCGTCGAGAGATGCAATATATGGAAACAATTTTTCTTGACGCGCGTGGATTTCTCTATCGCGGCTCGGTGAATACCAAAGAGATTCCTCCTTTCCGATCACCATGGGAGTAGCGGCGGCGATTCGCAAGAAGTAATCTTCTTAAGTACGCATCCATAAAGGGCGAAACGAGGAAAAGAAACTGATTGTCCCGAAATTCCGAACCCAGATCTGCCCGGTTTGTGTGATGAAAAATTAAACCATCCAACATAGCTCGAGTAATTCAGCTTTATTGCGAAATAAAATATCATCATGTGTTGCATTATCATGGCTTAGTTGCTTTCATATATAGCACACAAAAGGATGATGAATAATCAAACATCCCAGTCAAGTATTATACTACCTCCTACGTATGTTACATAAATAAAATATTTATTTGTCAACTTTAATATCATTCAAAATACATTACTTTCGCTCTCTTTGGCCCCATTAAAAGGCTACGCGCCTCTCTACTACTCCCTTTGCTTCTGCTTAATGTATTCTGGCAGAGGCAATGAATATAAAATTAAATTGAATATAAATCCGGCGAGAGGGAACAAAAAGGCCACCGCCTGCGAGTACCCAATATCAGGACCTAATCTCTCCGTATAAAAATCCATTCCGTCCTTGAATCTGCACTCGGGACTATTGAAAACGGGACAAGTGAGAGTCGCGTTGTGCGGCGCGGCGATGCTGTCTGCAAGCAACGCTTGATGGAGAGCCGTTGAAGTGTAATGAGGTTGCGCGATGGTCGTCAAAAACTGCAGCCAGCCCGGCATGCCACCTTGCGCCCTGCCGCACATGGAACGAGAGAGAAAGAGCATTTTTAAATTAACTTTGATAAAAGTAGTTTGGAGCTACTTGAAAATTGCCCCGTCGGCCTTTTACCGAAATGAACCTGCGCGCTTAAAGCCGAACGATTTAGGTAGGCAGACTGTGTTATTTTTAAAGTCAGCGAAAAAGGAGCCGCACCGCCAGAGGTAAATTTCGTCAATCTGACCTCAAGTGCTCATAAAAATCATTATTGCAGCTCTGTCATTTTCTTTTATGTTAAAAAAATATTCACGTTTATCTCCGGAAGAAAGTGCAAAAAAAAGCCAATTTTTGCTTGGCATACAAAATTTTACCTCTTTAAACGTTTGATTTTTTATATGAAGTCTAATTTTTGTTCGCTTTTTAAAAGTTTTTTTTTGTAGTATCACACCACAATACAAATAAAAAGGATTCTATTATATTAAAATTTCTTAAATATATTTATATTTTTGAAAAAAAAAAATTAATTGGGGAAAATTTACAAGTTCCACCGCAATAAAATCTAATACGGTTTACTAACGGAGATCAGGGAGAAGTGCCTATAAATCTCTTGAGTGCTCAATATACCTTAAAGTGCCGGAAGAGAGTATTAAAGCCAAGGAGAAAACCAAGGTGCTGCAGAGGAACGCGGTGAGGCTGTCTTGCAGGTAGACGAGAATGGCCTTAGTTTGCTGCTCGACGGCCAAAATTGTAGCCAGGATCGCTCCAAACAGCACCAGCCAGATTTTGTACTGGTAACCTGTCAAGCTAATGGGGGCGCATTACCCAAATTAAATTGGCGGTTGCAGCGGAGAATCATCGCGCCTTACATGACAATTAATCCGGCGGCGAGGGCGGCCGAGGCGGCGCTCAGGGGCAGCCCGAGCAGCGTGCTGGAGACGACGAGCTGCGATCCCGAGTACAATCCGTCCCTTTTTTCCTGATAGAAACGCGTCCGCAGCTCCGGATCTGCGATTAGCATAAATATTACAACCGGTCCGTGCAAATGCGATTAATTATGCAGTTGCACGGTAGGTAAACTTACAGAGCAGGCAAGTGACGAGTGTGGAGTTGTAGTAGGCGACGGCGAGTATTATGAAGCAGAGAGCGCTCACGCTCGGGTACGAGCGCTGGTAGTCCTGCGGAAAGAATAAGCAGACTGTAAATTGCCGCGCGACGGTGAAACAGGGTGTGGTTTAATTACCAGTAAAGTTGAAAAGCTCTGCATTGTGGAGGCGCACACAATAGGCAGCAGGAACAGCTGCAGGAACAAAGACCTCAGCCCTGTGAGTCGAAGATTGAACGTGGTTGCCGTCTGCCGACTGAAATGGGCGCATATTGAGCGGATAATTCGGGGCGATCCATCAAAATGTTCTCGTTTGACAGTGGAAGCGGTTTGATCACCTCCGTCGAGTATGGAGGGAGGTTTAATACATCAAAACACTTCATTTAGTTTGACAACTCTCTTTGCCTCAAAAAACAGGTTTAAAAAGCTGGAGATGCTTCTATTGTTATTCTTGTGAGAAATTTCATATTATCTATTTTTTTTAACGCGTAGACAAAATTTGTACCACAAAAAAAAACTGCAAAATTATGTGGTAAAGAAAAATTTGCATTTGAGAACAAGAAGAAATAATTAGAGTACGCACCAAAAGAGGGCCCAGAATTTTTTCAGCGCGCCCGGCTGCCCCAAAACGCAGAGAGGCAGTTTGTGGCCTCTCTCTGGAGACAGAGGCACACCAGCTATGTCATGAGAATAAGCGCTCCCTTGGATTTTGAATTTCTCAACAAGCGAAGCAATTTGCTGGGTCGAGTCCATAAAGAGATCCCTTGAGCGTCGGTCCACGGTCGAAAGACATACTGAAGAAAAGCAGAAATATGAATGTTAATTTTTCACGCATTCGTGTCGACTCACAATAGTACATGAGGGGATTCTCGAGTTCGGAGCAGGGGAAGCCGATCCGCTGGAAGTAGTCGAGCAGCAGGGTGGTGCGGCCGGCGTAGACGACGTCGCCCAGGCACAGGATGGACACGCGATCCAGAAAGGGGAAGACGTCCGAGCGGGGTCGCTCCATCGAGAGGATGACGATGCGGCCGCAGTTGCGCGCGTGATTTGCAAGCATTGATAAAACCAAGTAGGCGTGAAGCGGCGACAGACCGGCCGTCGGTTCATCGAGCAGCAGAATAACTGCAAAGCCACGTGTGAAAAATCCACTCACTTCAATCCGCAGTGAAAAATACTCACTGGGGTCCTTGATGATCTGCACGCCTATCACCAGCCGCCGGTACTCGCTGTCGTCGAGTCCGTCGACGCCGCGATACGCGACGTGCGTCAGAGCCAAATCGGCCAGCACCTGCTTCACTCGAGCCCGACGCACGTAATTGGACACCTAAAAAGATTTACTCTTAATGAAATATTTGCCCCTCTCCATTACAATAATAAAAACACATGGTAAATGAAATGAAAATTCATAAAGTGACAATTTTAATTTTAAAAAGAAATTGTTTTAATTTAAAAATAAAACATTAACGCGATTATAATAAAATTTCTTTTTTTTACAAAATGAGCGATCAAAATATCAAACATATTTTTTTTTAAGTTATTACGAAAAAACAGATTATTAGAATTTTTACTTTTAGAATTTATTATTTTAAATTACTAGATTTTCAATTACAGAATTTCTCTCCAAAAATTATTTTTAAATTCTTCTCTACGCAAATAAAATAATTTACATTGTTTTATTTTTCTCAGATTATAAAGGAACTCGCAAATGTAACTGTTTTTAATGATAAATTTTAAACGAAAAATTCATGAAAAATGTCGTGGGATCGAGCTCGGCAACTCATTATGCAACCAAAACAATGACACGCTCGTGTGTTGGGAGGAAGCAAAATAATTATTATGTCGCAAACATTGTTTATCGAAAAGCTGCCCGAATCAATAATTCTCGCATGCATGCAAATGATGTTTAAACTGAGAGCAAACTCAAAATGCAAACAGCTCACGCGGGGCCGGCGGTGAGTACGGACGGTTGTTTGTTGGCGGATTTGCACATTTTTTTTTTCCATTTGCATAACTAACGTACCTTGGAGCCCAATTCGAGCGCAGCAGAGTAGAGCAGAGTTTGTTCGGTGGTCAGCCCTGTCAAAAGATCGTTTCGCTTGCCCACATAGGCGCCGCACTTTTGAAAATCTGAAGCACCGAGCGGCGTGCCGTTTAAAAGCACTTGGCCTCTAGTGGCGCCCTGGGCCCGTCCTGAGATGACATCGAGTAGGGCCCGTTTTCCACTGCCTTCAACACATTCAAATCAAATGAATTAAATTGGTTTTGTGAAAAAACGGAGCAGTAGATTTCAAATAATGATACATAACTTTGTAAAGAACTTTACAAGATTATATGCGATGAAATTATATCATATGTATGTCATTTTGTTGTTGTTTCTTTGTCCATATTGTTATAATAAATTGTTCCAATTCAATTCTTGAACAAATTAAAACTAAAAAAAAGGAATTTTTGGACGAAACGGCACCACCACTAGCAAGAATTTTGCTAAAACTTCAGAGATCAAAAAGACCCAAACCACCGTATATGATTTTTAGTTCAAATGTTACAATTATAATTTAAATATCTCTATAATTTCATGCTTTTAAAAAATTATTTAATGTAAAATATAATAAAAATAATTATTAAGTTCATTTTTTTTATGAAAAAATAATTTGATTAGGTACAAGTTTGAATATTTTTAAAGCTGATTTTTTATAATTGTTTTTGATAATATTTAATATATGGAAATAATTATCTTGGATTTCACCTTTAGATCCTAAAACTGCCAGGAGCTCTCCAGAGTGCACCACCATGGAGACGTCCTTGAGCACCAGGCCGCTGCGCACCCTGCCGCTGAGCCTCTTCAGACAGCCGCCGCTCTCCACCTGTTGCGACAGGGCGAATTAATTTTCGTGGAACATCCGTCAAAAGTTCAAAAGCCAGCCAAGGTCTCGATGCGCGTCTGAGCATAACTCACGCGATAGATTCCTCGGGGGCCGACTTTTGAAGTGCAATAAATTTCGATTCGAAAACTTGTTACTCGCCTGTCCGGTGTGGAAGATGTTGCAGAGCTCGAGCACAGACGGCTGGTGTCGAGCGGACATCTTCATTAGCACCTGTTGCTGGTCGAAAAATTGAAATTCTCAAAGGCAGCAGTGCATTTTATTTTTGACGAGAGAGCTGTGTTTTTTTTCAGGTCCACTGCGGCCGAGCAGCGAGCGAGGAAAACAACAACGCGCAGGCAGGTAAAGGAGAGGTTTTTAACTCACGCCCAGGGTATGGAACACACGTCACTGCAACTTTAGTTTAGGTCCCTTCCACTAGAGCGAGAGGCATTCTACCCTGACGGGTCCATCCGACTGCGATCAAGCAAGAGAGTCATGGAGGCAGAGCGATGCTAACAAAACCCAGGTATTTATTGCATTCGCGACATCAAATGGGCCCACCCAGTTTTTGACAAGGTCACCATTCTCAAGACAATTGCGGACACCCCGTTCTTTGTTTCTCTCGGACGGGAAAATTATATTTTAAACTTGAAGATCGGGGGCGATTAGCGCGCCCGCTCATACCTGTGGAATTTACTGCTCTGCGGCATTGTTGTTAAATTAAGGAGAGCGACCAGTGCGGAATATGTAATTAGGCGGCTAATAACACCCGCCCGAGCATTTCCTGCGCCCTTCCTCCTCCTCCGAGCGTAATTTAATTTGAATATCCGCGAGAGCACAGCTTGGAGTTCGGGTGTGCTCGCAGTGTTCGCGTTTCGGAAATAATTCATTCAAGGGCGTGTTGAACTTGCAGGGCAGGATGAACGAAAGACGCTATTCGGTGCCGTCCCTCAACGAGCCGCGGCTCCACGAGCTCGCTTCGGAGGATCTGCACGCGTGGTCCATTTACAGACAAAACCTCAACTCGGACTTCGCCGACTCGGCCCTGGGAGCGGGCGAGAAAAGCCCTCTGCCCTACGGAAACTTCCAGCTCAGAGAATCGACAGTGAGTATCAACACAACTTTTGGAATTTGCACCCCCAACTTTTGCGAAATTTGAGAGTTTGGAATGCTAAGCTCTCTCGGCCAAAGTGAGCGTGGGTAATAATTAGGGGTGAGGAGTGAATTATTCACAGATTTCGACTGCAATTAGCTTATCAGCGGCTGAATTGCCTGAAGCTCTCGGCTATAATTTCATTAGAAAGGGTTTACAACAGGCACGCCGCAGATATTATACGGTGATAGGCAAAGTTGTGCATTCAACGCGACAAGTATGTATAGGAGAGAGTAACAAGTGTGTTGTCGTTGCCCAACTCATGCGTGCCGCCGCCTTTTCCGGAGCAGCTTCTGTTCTCCCGGCACGTCTAATTAGATTAATTTTCTCCACCTAGAAGCTGTTATTTGAGACCAGTCCGCTCCAAATTGGCTACGATTCAATTTAATATGCGTTTAAAACTTATAATTTAATCACTTCGAATTTTTGACAAGAAGAAATCATCTCTGCTGGTGGAAGAATTCGGTGTACAGTTCAGTGATTTTCTCGCCTCCGGGCCAGAGCGCAGTAATTGCACAGTACTAATGTGCGCAATAAAAATTCCTTTGATTTCTAAGGACAATAAAGAAGCCCATCGAATTTCATCTGTTATGGAACGGTTGTGCTTAATTGCTAAGTTCGTTTGCCCACTGATCACTCTCTGGTTGATGTTCAAATTTCAGGGAATTTAAAAAAACAAAATCGTTTAATTTCAGACTGATTTTAATTCTTTTTTTAAGGATTGTGACGAAGATAGTAGAAATCAAAGTTTGCTGTTAAAAAAAAATGCATATTTAAATGTCTAAAAAAAAAGGATCTGAAAAAAAGTGTTCTTCCTATTTCGTCTTTCTATATGTTTCCCAAGGAATCGGATTAACCATGTATTATAGACACATTTAATTAATTGTTTAAGAAAAAAAGTAGAAACTCACAAAAACCCATCGAGGAATGGCCGAATTTTAAATTCAAATCACCATGAATCAACCCTCAATCGTGAACTTCTACTGCTTAAATTTGTATAAAAAATTCATCTTAATTTTGAAGAATTTTTAGATTTGTTATATTTCTTAATATTTTCATCTTGCCTATATTTATATTAACGTTCAAGTTGTGACATTCTTGCAATTTTTAATGGTTCACTGAAGAAAAATTATATTTATAAATCATAAAATCAAGGTTGATTAAGCTGCCTTTGGCTTTCATAAGTAGCAAAAAAATTTGATTGGTTATTTATTTTGTATTGTTTCTTGCATAATTACATCCAAAACTTATCATTCTTTTTTTAGGCACTTGTAACAGTTTCACCTCATTTCTTTATTTTCCTTGCAAGGTTCGGTCCATTTTGCGGCACCCCCGCTACGGACCGAAGAGCGAGCTGACGGGCAACATGTACACCTACCTCAAGTTTGGTCTGCCGCGCGTTTTTCCGCCCGTCCGGAGGGACAACTCGAGCGGCTACGACTCGAGCGACGACGGCTCGCCGCGCGCCCCCAAGGGTGGCGGCGGAGGCGGCGGCGTTTTGCGCAGCCGGAGCGAGACGGCGCTCAACGTGATGAGCAACCAGCCGCTGCGCAGCGCCAGCGAGGCCAACTTGCTGTCCATGTCCGAGTTGCGGCCGAAGCGCAGGACCGTGCACAAAAGTCTGCCCAACTTCCAGCTGCGCAACGTGCACTACGAAAAAGGGCCGAGCCGAGTTTTGGAGACGATAAACTTGGAGGCCCGCGGCGGAGACATGCTGGGAATTATGGCCACCTCGAGTACGCAAATCCGGCTTTTATTGTCCTTTCATTAAGTGCTTATTGTTTTACCATTAATTTAGGAACGGAAGGAGGCGCGCTGCTCGATATCATCTCGGGCCGGCTGCGGGCGACCAAAGGCGAGGTCTGGCTCAACGGGCGCTACGTCAGGCCGCGGGCGCTCAAAAAACATTTCAGTGTTGTGAAAAGGGAGTGCGAAAACTTTGACGCCAGTCTGACGGCCAAGCAGACGCTCAGGTTCCACTCGTGGCTCAGCAACGCGCCCAACGCCAAAGTGAGAAGAGCAGAGGTAAAAATTCACAATAATCTTTAAATATTCCAGCACTTTTTTCCTTAAATTGTTAGCAGAAAAATGTTATTGTAAAAAAATTGTCTGTTTTATTTTTTATTCGATTCTTTTTCAAGAACTGTTATTTTTCTGATATATTGGAAAAATTAAATGAAAATTGAATTTAAAAAAATACAATATGATTAAGAATATGCAGAGAGGACTTAAATTAAATTCTTAAACTTATCAATTCAACATATTATTTTTTTCCTCATTCAAAAAATATTTATTTTTAATTTCAGAAAACTTCATTGTGTTTACAGGTTGAGGCTCTATTATCTCAACTGGGCCTGAGTCAAGTTCGAAATACTCGTATCGGCGCTTTAACTCACTCAGAACGGATACGTTTGCAACTTGCGTGTGCATTGCTGCAGGTAGGACTTTTTATACTTAATAATAATTTTTGGATTAGCTTAAATTTTTTGTCAATTCAATACCGTTGAATACATTTTAAATTAAAATTTAAAGGGATGCGACATGATCGCGCTGGACGACCCGTCGCGCAACATGGACATTTTTGACACCTTTTTCCTGCTCGAGTTTCTGCGGCAATGGGCCTCGGCGGGTCCGCGCATCGTCTTCCTCACCATCCATCCACTCACTTTTGAAATATTCAGCATGCTGAGCAGGGTCACACTTCTCTGCGCCGGCCGTCTGGCCTTCTCTGGCCGCCGAACAGAAATGCTGCCCTATTTTGAGCACATCGAGTACCCCTGCCCCGCATTCAAAAACCCCTCGGATTATTACAGTGAGTTTTCAATTTTGCAATTTACAATTTTTTTTTTATAATTTGATCTTTCCTAAAAAAAATTGTTTCTAGTCGACTTGGTTACACTGGACGATTTGTCAGCCGAAGCAATGCTCGAGTCGAGTCAGCGGATCCAGCAATTGACCGAAGTTTTTGCGAATCGCCAACCGCCTTTGTCAGATCCAGGACCACCCCTTGAACCACCCTCGGTCTCGAAACCACCCGGATTCTTTCTTCAAATCTGGGCACTCCTTTTGTAATAAGATTTTATCCTAAAATAATGCAATATTACAAAACATTTTTTCTTTCTTTTGAAAGACGCGGTTTGATTCTGCGCTGGCCGCTGTGTCTGGTGCGTTTTTCACACAACCTGCTGCTGTGCGCCGCCCTGTCCGTGGCGATCGGTGCCATTTTCTGGGACCTGCGAAACCCCGCGGCCTCCCAGGACTCCCTGCCCGACTGGCTCAGTTTTTACGTGGTCATGATGGGAATGTGGAACATCCCTTTGAGCTTCTGGACGGCGCTGGCCAAACGACCCAACGACAAAAACTGCATCTGGCAACCGGTGCAGGCTCTTTGCAAGGCAAGCCATTATTTTATCAATAAAATTATTGAATTAATTAAAGTTTTTTTAATTCACTAAAAGTTTAGTTTGTCGCATCAAATTAAAATAATAGTTTTCTTGCATAATCGTAAATATTTTAAGCAAATAATTTTCAACTCTGCAGGTTTTGCTTGACATCCCTCCCTTGCTGTGTCTGTCGCTGGCGTTTTTCGCCCCCGCCTACGCGATGAGTGGCAGCGTGACTGCTCCCCCGCGGGCAGACTTGTTCTCCATTTATATAGGCAAGTGATCAAATTCTGTTTTTCTATCGAAATTAAATTTAAAAATAATGTCAATTCGACAGGCATTTCGATGCTGTACGCGCTCTGTTCGCACGCGGCGATGCAGTTTTTCCTTGCACTCACCCCAAAATCCCCCATTATGGGCTGTACCTTGGCTCTGGGCACCAACTGGGTGTTGCTCTTCTCCTGTGGCTATCCGCTGCACCTGCAAGACCTTGGTCAGGCGTGGATGCAGTTTGTCTCTCCTGTTCGCTGGGTGCTCGACGCGCTGGTGCGGCCTGAATTGCTGCAAGTCACCTCCGTCACCTGCAGACCAGTCCAGGTAGCAAATTTAGCAAACATTATCAATTTAAAAATTAAAAAGTATTGTTTCAATTGTACACAAAATTAAAGGGAAAATTGACACAATTAATTGTAATTAAATTTTTCCTTCAAAAATTTTATTGGAACATTTTTTTTATATATTTTTAATAAAAATATATAAAAAAAACATTTTTATTATTCTTTGGAATCATTGAATAATTTTTCTGTAATACTACATCCTTTAAATGTTTAATTTGAATTAATAACAATATTATTTAATTATTAGGTTCAACGTCAGGACATTATCGTCCAGCTTCCATGCGCCCTAAACTCAGGTCTGGACGTTCTCCGACCCCTGCATCTGTCCGACGGCTGGCCGTGGAATGAACCGCTACCTGTGCTTTCCAGTGCCGTCGCTATATTGACTCTAGTGTGGACTATTTTTGCCTACTTTGCACTCGCCCTGAACTGATCGTTAGTAAAAAAAGAGTGTTTTCCCGTTGTGATGAAGCCCAAAGTTTCCTCGCATATAGTTTTAATAATCCAGCCCCTGCCATTTGAGAGCCGTCCAACGAAACAAGTGTTTTTTTTCTGCATTTAGCTCTTCTTAGTTTATTTTAACATTGCAAAATTACAATTGAAAGGATTTGAACATTACAAAGGACTTAAAATCTACAAAGTTAGTTATAAATTATTCAGAAAGGGCGTCCTCGTCGGTTCTGACGCCTGTCCATGTTGCCCCTCTCCATGCCCAGTCTGTCCGGCATGGAGCGCTCCATGCCCACCCGGTCCATCCTATCCATGCCCATAGTTTCAGACGGCGGGAAGATGCCAATGTCCAGGAAGTCTCCAATTCGGAATCTGCAGCAACATGAACAATTTGTAAAAAAAAAATGTTTAGAGTTCAACAAGGTTGTGTGAATGCTTGTTTGGGAATGGAAGAAGTCGACGTTCAGGTTGTGAAGATTGTGGATTTTAGTTGGACTTAATTAAATGTTTAACAAAGTTGTAGTAATTTATCACAAGACAATAAATTATAATTTGTGTACACTTAAATCTTGGTCTTTCAATATTTTGAACTCACTTGAGTTGGGCAAGGGTTTTGCTGTCGTCGGGGCCTTTGTGTCCACTGATGGTGGCGCCCAAGTCTCTGGCTCTCAGGTGAGAGTTTGGTCTCGTCGGGTCAGGGCTGACCAGGGCAAAATGCAAGGTCGTGCCCTTACGCTTGGCATCTGGGTTTACTTCCTTCACTAGGCTGGACAGTTCTCTCAGAGTAGCGTCCATCCTGGAAGACAACGTAAAAATGAAGTGTTTTTGTTTTTGTCTCAAAGAGCAGGAGCTGAGGTGAATTTTATTACCATGTGTAAATCTGAAGTTCATTGCCAGGAACAGACCCTGCGGAGTACTGCAGAATGCTGTTGTGTCTGCCGGTGTTGCAGAAAACCCGCAGGAGAAGAGGGCAAGTCTGAAAAGTACGATTTAGCATGAATCATTCAATTTTCGAGCGACTTCCACGTGAGGAAGAGAACGTTTTTCTCACCTTTTCTCTGTTCACGGGCTTTTCCTGCTCGGACTTTTCTTCCACAATTTTAGACTCCAAGCCTCCTGAAGCCATTTTTAGACTGGTTTCAGTTTGCAGATGAATTCAATAAACTTCAGAAAGCGAACAAAATCAAGCCGGTAACACGGTGTCGGAATGTGTTTATGTTTTAAAAAGGAAGGACGCACGCGAAACGCGAAAGACTGATTTAGTACGCGAAACGCCCTGTAGGTGGCAACAGCAACCCATCGGAAATTATTTTAATGAAGTGGATTTAAACATGGAAATTAAATTTTTTTAATAATTGAGCTAAATTTCAAAGTTTCCTATTCTCCTATAAAAAAATAATAGAAATAAAAGCGATTTTGAGAATTTTTACATAAATTTTCATTCTGTTTTTAAATTGCATAAAATCTTTTTCTGAAAATTTCAATTGAAAACTGTGAAGTTCTTCTGCGTCCATATATATTTAAATTGAGAAAGTATATATAAATGAAGATTTTGAATCTTCATAAAAATAATTTTAATTTCAAATTATAATACTTAAAATTATATCTTTAAATAATAATACATTCAATGCTGTGTGCCCTATTCTATACAGAGTTAAATTAAAGCGACATTAATAGCTTTTTATTATGACATAATGAATGAGATACGAGATACTCGAATTCAATTGACTTTTCCGCCGAGTGTCAAGTCAAGGTTAACGTGCATATTGATAAAGAGGTTGTTTACTCGGCCTTAGCATCTTGTTAGATGCCTCGCGAGCCCAACTGCGCGCCTCTCTAAAAAGCGCTCCTCTTTTTCTTTGCGGCAGTGGAGGAATCGGATCTCGTGGAAGCGAACTTCTTCTTTTCTTTTTCTGTCTCGAGTGGCCAGTGTCGTCGCAACACAACAACTTGCATTTCCATAATGTCCTCCGGAGAATTTAAAAGTTTGGAGGATTGTTTGGAAAAACACATTCCCGCGCCCGAGCTGGCAGAGGTGAAGAGAATCCTGTTCGGCAAACCGGTCGAGTGAGTATATTTGTGTGCTTTGGGAAAAAGGGACGATTTAATATACTGGGCAAGAGCAGACAAAAAAGGGAAAGACCTCGTTCCGGAAAAGTTACGCTCTTTGTTCCGTCTCACTTGGTTCATTCTTCGTTGGGCGATGTTGAATTTTATTTGCTGGGGTAATAAAAAAGAGCGATTGCTTTTAGGAATTATTAGTTTCCCTCATCAAATAGATTGCATTTTAATTTGTATTATTTATGAATTTTAAAATTTGTCAATCATTTCTAGAGGCATTCCCATCCCGAAGGCAGCAGAGGCGCTTCGAAAAAGTGGAGATTTTGAGTTGAAGGCCTTCAAGATTGCAGCGGCGCCAGAAGAGCTGAGGAAGCCACGGTATAAATTACAATTTAATTCAAGCATCTATAAAACCCAAAACAAATTTTTCAACGGGTCAGTTTAAGTTGGATTTCTATATTTAATTTTTGAAAAACCTTTTTTTCAATAAACGATTATTTTCAAGAAAATTTCTGAATTTTGGTGAGTTACATAAGCGTGCATATTTTTAATTCGTATTAATTTTAAACTAAAAAAAATTCAAATTAAAATTCAGTTTGGTTCGCGTGGGCATAATTCAGCATAAAATCGTGTTGCCGACAACGGCGCCCATCCAGGCCCAACGCGACGCGATTCTCGAGCGCGTCGGCACAATTGTCGAGGCCGCCTCACTGTGCGGCGTCAACGTCCTCTGCTTTCAGGAGGCATGGAGTGAGTAACCAAATATTTTTTATTTTCATTTTTTATTGCCTAGCTCTCTCAACTTCATAAATTAATCTGCAGACATGCTTATTGATTGCCTTGAGAAAATAATTTAGGAGATATATAAGTATCATAATATTGTAATAAAATTTATGTGATTTTTCGCTTATTGTTAGATAAACACTTTTGCATTGGCTAATTTTGAAAAAAGTAATGAAAATATGCGGAATAGTTGAATGATGATCTTAAAAATGGATGAAAATTATTATATTGTTATTACTTAGATCAAGTGATTTCAAAATAAATAATTTAAACTAGAGATAAAGGCATTAACATGGAATCTAGGCTATATGAATAAATTTCATAAAATGTATTATAATTAGAAAAATGGATTAAAATTGATCCCCTATTCCCCATCCCTAGACATGCCATTCGCGTTCTGCACTCGCGAGAAGCAACCGTGGTGTGAGTTTGCCGAGGACGCGGAAACCGGACCAACTACTCAATTCGTTCAAAAGGTTTAAAAAAGATATTTATTTTTTTGATTGTTTTTGACTTATGCGTTGACTTTTTTCGTTTACTTTATTGGTTGGCGCTGCAGTTGGCCCGGCAACACGGAATGGTGATTTTGTCACCGATTCTGGAGAGGGACACAATTCACGGGGACACCATTTGGAACACGACCGTCGTCGTCGGCGCCAACGGCAACGTGCTCGGCAAGACGCGCAAGAACCACATCCCGCGGGTCGGTGACTTTAACGAGTCCACCTATTACATCGAGGGCAACACTGGCCACAAAGTGTTCGAAGTGAGTGAAATTTAAATTATCCATCAATCACAAAAAAAATAATAATAATAAATAAATAAATATATGTTTTGATGTAGAAAAAATACCTGATCAATGGTGATGAATTTTTTAGAATTTTATTGTACATTTTTAAGTTTAATGAATTAAAATCATGTGCACACATATTTTTTTTCTGTTTAGTTCTTTTTTGGAAACGATCAATGAACAAAACATGAAAATCATTGCATGAGCAGAAAGCTATTTTCAAATTTAAAGTGTCTTATTATTCCCACTAATTTCATTTGTCTTTTTTTTTATTTGTCATAACATCACAATGTGACTATATAGAATTTAATTTGTTATTATATTATTTTATTTTTCATTACAAATTACTACTTATTCTGACTTTTCTACGTAAACACAGACAAAGTTTGGTAAAATTGCGGTCAACATTTGCTACGGGCGACACCACCCGCAGAATTGGCTTATGTATGGTGTGAACGGCGCCGAGATTGTTTTCAACCCCTCTGCGACTATCGGCGGGCTCAGGTATGTACCACATTTCTTTCAACCAAAACTGAACGAGTGCTTTATGCCTTGTTCAAACAAACCGTCTATGGATTAAATTAAAATTTAAAGTTCAAATTCATTAATTTTCCTTTGCAAGGATTCCATTGTTAAGAATTTGGCTTTAATAAATTTAATTAACTTAAATTGCTATTTTTTTTTATTTCTTGTATAGTTTTATTATATTATACATACATATTGTATATTAATTTTATTAAAAAAAACTTGATTTCATAGCGAGCCCTTGTGGGGGATTGAGGCGCGAAACGCGGCGATCGCCAACAGCTACTTCACTTTTGCCATCAACCGTGTGGGCACCGAGCATTTTCCGAACGAGTTCACATCGGCCGACGGCAAACCGGCCCACAAAGACTTTGGTCACTTCTACGGGTCGAGCTACGCGGCCGCTCCGGACGGTAGTCGCACTCCTGGACTGTCCAGGACCAGGGAAGGTCTCCTTGTCACGGAGGTCGACCTCAACTTGTGCAGACAGACAAAGGACAGTTGGGGATTCAGGGTACTTTTTTCGTCAAAGATTTTTTAACCCGCATTTAACCATTAATTTAAAAAAAACTGCCTTTTTTCAGATGACCCAGCGTTTGGAACTTTATGCAGAATCCCTTTCTCAGGCTATCAAGCAGGACTACAAGCCAGACGTTGTCTACGAAAATTAATTTTTCTATGTTGAAAATTATTCTCATTCATTATAAACTTTATTTTAAATTCTGGTGGCCGATTGTGCAGTAAAAAATAATTGAATAGAACCATGGAATAAAAAAAGTATTTAAAAAGAAAAAAATTACATATATCAAATAAGCTATTATCAAATTTTAGTTAAATCGTTTTCTTCTATTTGGAAAGCCTAATTCCTACACGTTTGCAATATATTTCAAAGAAATAAATAAATGTTACAAACAAGTGAAATTTAAAACAATCTAATTTCATTGGCTTCGTGCAAGGTAATTTTCATTCATATAATGATGTGCATAAAATTTCTTTAAAATAACTATTTTTTTTATCAAAGTGGGTTATTTATAAGAAGAAGAAAAATGAATTAATTGCACTATAGGTTTGTTTGCTGCAAGAATATTGGTTAAATCTTGCTCATTTTTACAGGGCAAGTTTTTTTAATGAACAAAAAATATGATTTGTAGTTCATCCAGAGCAGAGCGGCATGACGTTTTCGTGCAGAAAAAACCAGCAATGCAATTTAAAATTTGACGAATTATGCAACAAAACGGAGCTCTCAGCTCAGGGCGAACGTGTTACATAATTCACTATGATTTAAATTTATTGTTCATGTGAATTCATGTGATTTTATTCTTCTCCAGTCTGACAATGAGAATGATCCAGTCTGAGCATAAAAATAAACGAAAATAACGTGTTGGAGGGGATGAATAAAATAAAATTGACTTACCAGAAAGATCTGCTTGCAAACTTTTGTATATAAGGATGAGACGCCTAAATTATGGCTAAAAAACTCATCCACACGTGTTGATTGCCGATTATGTATCCGAAAATGCAATGCTTAGGCGTGAAAAAGCGTAAACAACGTGCGTGACGCTCGAGAACTGACTGAAGAAGAGTTGAAGAGATTGAAGAGAAGCGCCTGAAAACGAAAACTGCTTGCACTTGCAAAATATGATCCCTCTTCTGTTCCCTTTCCTTGAAATTCCGATGGAGTGGAGGGGGAGGGAGGTGATTTCTTTAGTTCAACCCAAGAAGGTTCAACCATTCTGCCCACTTTTGTTAAATGTGATGCGACTCATCCCTAGGAAAAAATCATAATTGCGTGTGTATAATTATATAGAAATTACATACACATCACTTGAAACCTTCCCCTAAATTATCAAGCTTGGTGATTATTTATTCTCCCTACCATTCCTTATGTGCAACGTTAGAGACAACAAATTTTTGTTGGATTTTAATTTTAAAGTACAAATTTTAGGCATAATGTCCACAAGAGAACAGAAAAACTTTAACATTCATCAATAATTTTTTACTAAATCTACCCATGCAAGAGGCAAAATTTAAATTATTAATTGTAGATAATTGAATTTTAAATGATTCAGATAAAATTAAATGCAGTGAATTATAGTTTTATTTAAGCTACAGACTGATTGAGGAAACCATTTTTATTGCAGTTCATGTTTGTTAAAAATTGTTCCGCAAGTACGTCAGTTGTCGTCGTGACCCTTCTTCATCGATTTTAGTGCCCTCTCTCGCAGCTGCTTCTCCAAATCTTCACCGCTTGATACCTATTGGCATTCAAATTGTTATGATTCATCTCAATGCAACAAGGGCAAATTTACTTTCTCATACCTTCTCTCCCTTCTCTTTCTTTTTTTCTTTCTTACTCCTTTTGCTTTTTTTCTGCTTCTTCTCCTTCTTGTGTTTCTTCCTCTTTTTCTCGGACTCGTGGCCCTCCGATCCGCTCACTTGGGCCTCGTTCTCAAAATCCGAGTCGGAACTGTACTGCTTGTCTTCCTACAGTTATATTATTATTTTTTATTATATAAAGAGTCAAAGTTTGTATTTATACCGTGGGTTTTGGGGAGCCTTTCTCTGGACTTGAGCTGGCCAATCTACGTTTAGGCGAAGGTGACTTGCTGTCACATTTTGCTGAAGATTCCGACGAACTCCTATTTCTGGACTTTGGAGGTGCACCTTCGGATCCATCTGATCTTTTTTCAGGAGACTTGCTTCTCTTTGGCTCTTGCTTTGTCACACCATTATGATCAGAAGAGTCCGTGTCTCCGGCCCGTTTAGTAGCCCTAGGAGAGTCTTGTGATGGACTCCTGTGGCGAGATTTAAATTGATTGCAATTAGAGTAAAGTAATGTGTGAAATGACTTGTTTAAAAAAATAAAACATGTTACTCAAATCACACGAAAACCATGCCTAATGCTAATCACAAATTAAAAACAATTAACCTCAAAAATGGTTTCCTTACAACAATTTTCTTTCTTTCAAGAATTATATAAAGATTATAAAGAACAAATTCCACTTCATCAGTTTCATCACATTGTGAACTTTTCGTTTTTAAATTTTATTTGACTTAATATATAAAATGTGAATAAAATAAAAATGTGTTGTATGAATATGCCTGATTTAATAACCTGCGCTTCTATTAAACAAAAATAGGAAATTATTGTACAAAAAAGTATTACCGCTTCCTTTCCCTTGACCTTTCTCTTCTTTTATCTCTGGACGTATTAGGCTCAGTGGAATTACGTCTCTCGTGTCGAGAATCATGTTGCTACAAAGTGAAAATATAGGAAATTGTTTTAAGAAATGTAGGTTTTTTATTTACCTTCCTATCACTATAGGAATCACGATCTCTGTGTTTCGGGCTTATGGACCGTCGACTGTTACGAGACTGGCGAGGCGGAGTTCGCAATTGCCTTCGCGAGTCTTGCCTGCCATAATCCCTTTCACGGTCTCGGTTTCTGGAATGAGGTCCATCATGACGTCTTTGCATGCGACCACGATAACGACGATCAGGACTTCGAGATCTTGATTTTTTCCACTGCACAATAAAACATTAATTGCAACGTGAAAAAACTTTGATCAATTTATATCAGTAAAAATAAGAAATAAACTTTAAAGGATTAACTTGACACTTACAGTCGGTTGATCTGAGCCGGAACTTGAATCCCGGTTCCTGCGGTACTGCCGCTTTCGCTGAACACTGTGCTCCGATTTCTGAATCTGAACGTCACCATCTTTTGCGGCTTCAGTGCTCTTGGTCTCTTCCTTGATTTTTACATCATTTGTTCTGCAAACGCAAGTTACCATCAATCAATCCTGAATTTTTTCCTTCAACTTAACAGGAAATTTCAATTCATGACAATTACCCTCCATTAATTGGACACAGAATTTAATGCCTTATGATAATAGCTAAACAGCCTTTTCTTTGGCTTAAAATTAAATCTTTACCTGTCTTTAGCTTGCTCACTGGTGGTATCATCCTTTTCAGGCAAATTCTTTTTATTTTTTGAGCTTTCCGAAACTTCGCCTTGGTTTTGTGTCTTGAGAGGTTCCTTCGAGGAGCTGCGAGAGAACCTTTTGCTTCGTCCTTGCGTGCTCCCACGATCTCTGCCTCTGGACCTACTTCTTGATTTCCTCTTTTCTCTCGACCTGCTTCTTGACCTCTTCTTTTCTCTTGATCTGCTCCGTGAATTTCGAGATCTACCCTTTGACCTGCTCCTGGACCGACCCGCTCTATAAGAATAAATAGGATGGGTTATCAATAACTTTCTTAAAAATAAATAGCAAATGTTTTAAGCATGTTAATATATGAGAAGCAATTTTGTGACTTTGATTATAATTAATAAATAATTCTTACCTATCGTGGCCTGTTTCTTTTCGGGCATCATCTCTTTGTCTCTCTTTTTCCGCTAATTGCATTTTAATTGTTTCATGGATCTTTTCTTGCTCCTCCTGCGAAAATGTAGCTTAATATTCCAAGCAAGTAGCATCTATTATAATAACCTACCACTTTTTTCTTTAACTCCTCCTTTTTTAGTTCCAGGAACTTTTCCGGAATGCCACTGACACTTTCTTGAGCAGACAGCAATAGCTCCCAAAGCTCAGACATGAATATTCTAGCATTTTTACCATTTAGAAAACCCGTCAACAGAATCTGCATCTTCTTTGGATCAGGATTCTGAAAAATTACTCAGCAATGGTTAATAAATAATTAATACATGATTTTGGAAGGCTTGCATACTTTTTCATCTTCAAGTTGATTGAAAACAAACTCCACCACAACATCATCCTCCATACCAAGGAGTTCTGTGATCCGTTGTGTGATCCACGGTTTGATGACGTCAATTTTCACTTTGAGAATGTCCACCTACACATAAATTTTGTATTAGTCGGCACAAATAATGTGGCTTTTTATTATTAATTACTCTCTTGCTTAGGTGGTCTGCGAATTTCATTTGCTTTAGAAGTTTTTTTTCCTTGTCACTAAATCGATTGTCTTGCTCAGCAGAGGTTCCCTGAAATTAAGTTAATACAACATTATTATTCGACTATTATTTTGTTATTATGTATAAAATCGCTTAATTTTCAAGATCAGCAATTTCGCTATTAATCCATATTAAGAATCAAATAAAGGTTTAGTCTGTGATCTACAAACTAAAAAACACTTACCCGAAAAAATCCGGCGTCCGTCATCTTTTTGCTTGCTTTTCAAAAAGAATTTTCAAAAAGTTCCTCCTTTCAAAACAAACCGTGAAAGTTCTGTCGGATGCAGCAAAATCTTCAGTTGCAGTCAAATTTTCGATTGAGAGTAGTTTGCAGAGCTGAACGATCGAATTGAACTGAAAAAGAAGAAATTTTTATAAATTTGTGTATCATTTTGATTTGGACCGGTAATGTATGGACTAAATATGACCGCGTCGCCAAGTTATTTTACCTTCTCAGGAAAAAACGGGTAGTTCAAGACCTTCAAATTTTCAGTATTAATTGGCGCGATGCCGAGCCAGCCTAGAATGCGTTAATTTTGAGAGTTGAGGACGTATAATGACACAGAAATGATGCTTCGCAGTGCACAATTTAATTTGTGTTTTTAACAATACATCCGCCGATCCGCCATATTAGCAAACTCAACGGCCTGCAGGGCCTGCTTACGAATATTAAAAACAAAACAGGATCGGTCAAGACGCCATTTTTTCATCACAGCACCCAACGCTGGCCCTTGCGCTGGCCAGGGGAGCTAAAACCGAAAAATGGCGTCTCAACCAATCTATACGTCTAATATCTGCCAGTCTGCCTTGCAACGACGTTTCTACCACTAGGTGTCGCATGGTCGTAAGAATCTAAAAAACAGCGCCAACAACACGTGCGAGGCCTATGCGAATAGTGGTGAAATGAACAGATGTTTATTGACTAAGTCGACTGAGATATTGTGGCAAGATTTTGAGGGTTTTGCCCTCAGGAAAAGCAACCAATAAAATATCAATTGATTACAGACCACTTCTGCCTCTTATATTGACATAACCTGGCAATCAGAGGCATTCTTTATTACTTGTGATGGAAATAAACACAAATTCGACTAAACAGTAACAGTGTGCCCCTCACCAGATCAAGATCAATTGCACAAAGTAAAAGCACAGTTTTTTTTAGCGATTATAGTAAAAATGAGATTGCTAAGCTCTTAAAATCTTGTTTCCCACACAACATTAATATTCAGAATATAAGGGTTTTTATATTTGCATGTTAAGAAAGACAATCCATACTATCGGTAATGTTATTTAAACATTGATATACATACAACATTCGAGTAAGTGAAACGCTTTCGGCAATTACATTTTACATACATAAAATTTTACTGGAAGTCTCGTTTTAAGTAACATTGCCTTTAACAATCCTCACTCTCTATATGATTATCATCTTAAAAGGCCTCCATTTAAATTATGATAAGAAGGCAGGCGACTTTTCCAGTGTAAACTGTGTTTACCAATGAACAAATGCATCACATGCACATAATATATTGTTATGATATTATATTTATGACTTTGCGGAAAACTTTTATCTCTTATTTAAGTTTGGCTCTGTATTTAATCAATAAAAACTAAATGCCCGAAAAAGTACATGATCGCAGAAGACATCATCACAACCTGAATTAAGATAGTCACCATTGTAAAATATGAATTTGTGTGTTTCTTATTTAAATATAATTATATTGATCACTGTGGAGACGGGCCAAAATCAAAATTTAACACAGGGCACAAGTCAAAATTAGGAAAAATAAAAAGGCAATAAAATCCTGCTTGTGTAAATATATAATTAAGCAAAGCACCGGAGTCGGGAAAAGAGATAGCACTGGACTTAGACAGACTTGGAACTATAATTTTACAGACTTTTTTTTAATATATCAAACTAGTATAAAGTGAATTCCTTCCACACTAGTGATATAAGATAAAAATTCACATTTTTCAGCAAAAGATCTTAAAGCTCAAGCTTGTTCATTCCTTACGTCAGCTAAGTCAGATTGTATATTCGTGTAAGATAAAGCTCTTACGTGCATCTTAAAAAAGTAACATACAAGTATTATTTTGTAGATGTGAAAATTAATTTTTTTTAGTACATTAAATAAAAATTAAATAATTCATCTATAAATAAAAAACGTAAAATAAATGTTATACATATTTCTATTTTGTTAGAGTCCTGTTTGCTATGCTTTATTTGTATAAGAAGTGTGTAAGTAGTTTTTCAAAAGTTTAGATACTTGTCATAAGCCTTGATGTTACGCTAATTTAAAGTCATTGCCTATTAATGCCTATATTTCAAAGTGAATATATTATATTACTTTAAGGCAATTATTAAGTTTATTTTTCAGGCACTTTCTGAGAAGGCTTTTTCCAATACAATTACATCAGCTTTTGCTTTGCGCACTCTGGGCAAATAATATCATCGCCGTCGGTTATAAATCCACGGCCCACAAGAGATGACTTGCAAGTAGCACACACGAAGCAGTCGTTGTGCCAGTGACGGTCTTCGAAGGAAATAAATCTGGTGCCACCAATACCTGTGAAAAATTTGCAAGCATTATAATGTGGTCATTACTGACTAGCAAAGAACAAATTGAGGTTAATTACGAATTGACATATATCATACCAGTGATTGGTTTCCTGCACGATGTGCAACGCTTAGCAAAGAGCTCTCCAAAGCATTCTGCACAATACGGTTTCTCATCACGGGAGGTAAAACGCTGCCCTGCCAGGGACGTGTTGCAGTGTGTGCATGTGAAGCACTCACGGTGCCACGGCTCGTTCTTGTAAGTCACGCCTCCAGAAGTAATCACCTGGAATGTCAATTTTCAACGGTTTGAGTCAATTTTTTAGTTTACTCAACTTGACATATTTTTTAGGTAATTGAAAAAAATTTCAAATGCTAAAATAACAGAAATAACAATTTAAGCCCAAGAAATTATTACAAAAATAAGTTTAACTTGCAATAAGAGGAATTAAAAGAGAAATATAAAAAGATTGATGAAATTTTTATCTATAATGTTATAAATAAAAAAAATCCTAAATAACTTGCAACGTAAAAGCTGTGAAAAGCAGAAGAGATAATTTTTCTTTACAAGAAACGGTTAACAGAAATTGAATTTACAACATTAGACAAACTATTTATTTGTCATATTTTTTATTTTATTTTTAAATTTATAAATTCGTCTAAAAAACAGGCGCAGCCTTTAATCCTCAGGCCTCTGGATAACCCAGTTCCTAATCACGCACAAGCACCTGCTCAAAGCGTTCTTTTCCTACGCACAGCTACATGATTGTTCGCCCACTACTGCCGGTTCGCCTACAGACACACTGTCCGCCTTCAGTTTCCTTGAGGTGCTTAAAAATCAAGGGGAGAGACTTGCGAAACCCAGTAAAATTTGGACTAACTTAATTTGGGCCGAGCAAGTAAAAAAACTGGATCGATTGGATGGACGCATTTAATGAGAGAGTGGGAATGTGTCAAACAGTTGCCCTATTATTACATTCACAGGAAATATTTATGCAAATTTAAAGAGAAAATTATGATATTTGTATCAATAACAAGACAGGAGAGCGAAATTATTAAAAATGAGGAACCAAAAATGGAATGGGCGTTAGCCCAGGATTATTTTGGCCAGCACCCAAATTTAAAACAATAATGAATAAAAAAAAATAAAAAATCATGTTACCTTATTGCACTTGGTACAGCGAGTGGCAAACTTGTCTTCGTAGCAGCCAGCACAATAGATTTCTTGCTCCCTTGGAATAAATGACTTGGTGCCAATGGGAGTGCTGCACACGCAGCAACAGAAGCACTTCTCATGCCACTGGCGAGTTTTGTATTCCATCTTCTTTGTGCCTGAAATCAAAAGCCAAAGAAGGATAAAAAAAAACACTATAAAAATGCTCATAATACATGTTGAAGGTGAGAAATTTGTAATCACAGAAAGGCAACCGCAGCCAATAATATAATGCACGTTTGAAGAATCAAATTTTATTTTCGATCCACAAATTGAGGTCTAGTTACATTAGTCATTGACATCTGTGACCGCTGACCACGAAATAGAAAAAAATATCAGCTGAGCGTAAAATAGTACACTGAAAATATTTAGTGTAATACCTAATACCTATTTTGGCATGTTTTAAAATAAGAAAATTTTATTTTTTTTATTCTTGGGCAAATTTGCATGGGAATTATGATTTGGGTCAGATCATTAAAGCTCTCTTGTGCGAAGTTTTCTGAGGCAGAATAAAGAAGCGAGAGAATTGACGAGTGAGCACATTTGGCGCACAGTGCCTCTTTTTGTTCTGCGCGGCCACTCTTTGTCTGAATGGATTTGCCACTCATATTTTTTGCTTATAAATTTCGCTAATCTGTGAGTAAATACCCGATAGATATAAAAGAGATAAAGTCTTATTTGTTTTTAAAGGGCTAAAAACGTTTTTTCGTTCTAGCGCAAATCGGCCAGTTTTAAGACAGAATCCTTTAAATTGTCTTTTTATTCTTAGTGTCCTTGAAACGAAATTTATATGCTGCTGCGATGCGTGTATTTAAAAGTTTAAAAGTCTAGTCAAGGTTTTTTTAATTATTACTTTGTAACACGTACAGCAATGACTAACCACATTGCAGTGACGACTCATAAGTGAATGCTGAGCGGAGCTCTTGATATTTGATAAAAAAAAGGGTGCCGTCATTCAGTAAACACTAATTTAAGTTGCCTAAATTTTAATTTCTTGAGGATGAGTTATTTCGATATTGATATTCAGTTCGATTTTACGCCGGATAAAAAAGAATGTACCTGGTTGGATGTAATCAGGGTTGCCTTGTCGGCAGTAATTGTTAAGGGTGCAGTGGAAGTTTTTGCCGCTTGAACTAGGCGCCTGCGGAATGACGTCATAGAGGACTGCCACATCTTCCCCATTGCGGAGCGCGCGATTGATACGGTCACCACCAACTGTCTTGGTGTTGGACAACTTGAGGCTGATTTTACTGCTTAAGTTGCTCGTGGTCATTGTCGCAGCGAAATGCGGATCGCGCTACACGCAGCGGTCCAGCCCACCTTTGGCCCGACACCCACACAGACTCTCCCTCCTTTTCTTTCATTCCCCGCGACCTTGTCTCAAATAAGGAATGAAAAACCTCAATGCGGCACAGTGGTGGGACGTATTTGCAAACGCCTCAATGATTCACTTCGTCGGAGATCAAATGCCATGTAAAGATTCAAGTTCATTTGAATAATAAATGACGGCCAAGTAATTTTCCTCTCATCTCGGACTAAAATTCAACTTTTTTTTCTTATCCTCAAATATTTTATATTAATGACCTCTCTTGGGATTTTTTTTCACTTAATAGTTTCCCTCAAGCTATTTTCAAATTTTAACCTATGATAAAAAATTCACTCACCTGCTCGGAAGATTTCGCCGCACCCATCGCAACGAGATGCAAATTGCGTGTCATAACAGTTTCCACAGTAGATTTTGTCTGCTTTAGCCCCAAATTGTTTGTCCACCAAAGACACGCGGCACTTGCTGCACAGGAAACAAGCCTCATGCCAGTGCTTGTCTTTGTAGGAAAGATCCTGAAAACAATTAAATAAATATTTAGATCTTGTACGGAATAAATATTTTGTAAATATGCTTTCTATCTTAAAATTTTGTGACAGTTCAAATAATAACACAGATAATTTAATAATTCAAACTACCTTAGAGTCGATGCCAATAGTCTTGTTGCACTCTTCACACTGATTTGCAAAGACAGACTCGTAGCACGTGATGCAGTAAGGGTGGTCATCCCTTAAGACGTATCGGTGTCCAGTGAGGGATTCGTCACACTGCCAGCAGCAGAAATGGCTGGAATGCCAGTCCTTGTTCATGGCCTTCGTGTATTCTCCGCTAAAAATTAACTGGGCAAAAAAAAAAAAATTAATATTTTGGGCTTTAAAATTCTTCAAAATTTATTAACATTTAAATTGATGATAAAATTTACTGAAAAGCCTGAAATAACAAGGAAGTCTCCTATACGGAATTAATTTTTATATTTATCATTTTGTTTTCACAGGTGCATGAAAGGAAGCAGGCGTCGTAAAAGTCTTATAATGGAGAAGTTAAACAACTTAAGAAATTATCAGTTGATTTAACTGGAATCCTTTTGAGGAAAATATTTTGTCTTGATGATTTGTTAAAACATTAATAATAATAACTCTGGCTCTTTGTAGCGATTAAATAATTTAAATTGATATTTCTCAAAGCAAATAAAAGTTGCCTCTGGATGAATAACAACTATATTTTTTGTCTTTCCTCGGTAATATCAATAATCTAGAAAGCTGTTAAATACATTTTAAATTGCGGAATTATTTCTTTATTTCAAAATATTAGTTTAAAAAATTAATTATCTGTTGATGAGCAGTATGACTTTTGAAAGTGTTAAAACTGATGAGCACGTCGGTGGCTTAAGTCATATTTGACAGAAAGGAAAATTGTCACAGCTGCGAGGCGACGACGGTCAGAGTTTAGTCAAGCTCTGGAACGAACTGACACCGATCTTCAGAGATTGCCAAACAATTTGCCCTCCTAAATAGAAGCAGTTTTATTTTTGGGAGTCTCTTTAGATTATTTTCAGAAATGAATCTAAATTTATAATTCTTATTTACTACAACAATGTAAAACATAATCCAAAATGAACAGAGAAACAACCCGTACAACGTATTTCGTAACAGGGTCACTTTTAAATACCGTCTTGGACACCAGCCAATTCACAAATGAGGTGTTCTGCCCCATAAATTAATTGTGACTTTGCACGAAGCCAATTGCTTTATGTTTGTTTTAACCGTCCCCAAATTTCACAAAACGGATTTCGCTGTTGTGCGATTTTACACAATGTCGTAATTTGCAATTTGCAAATGGGTCAAAAGAAGGAAATAGAATAGCATTGAAATAAACATTAAGTTAGTGAGTAAATCCTCTTTTGTAGTAAAATTTATGCAGAGACACACAATCTCAAAGCAAGCAGTTTCAAAAGATGACTATGTCCTCCCCCCTTCTACTGGTTGTCTTATATGCTGAGATTTGATTGATTTTTTTTTGCAAAGCTATAAAATTAATATCATTTTCATATTAAGCTGTGTTTAAAAACTCACGCTTTCAATTAAAGCCATCGATAATTATCCACCGCTAACCTTTTTGGCCGCGCATAACTTTGTATTTATTTAATTTTCCATTTTTTCTGTTCAGATCAGGACACTCCTATAAAACATACTTTCTTTAAATCAGGGCATTGTGTAATTTTTCCCCTACGATGTTCTTTCCACTAAATTTTCAACTTATAAATTTGCCTTAAGATAGAAAGTAGCAGTTAAATCACAAAACGAATAACTTTCAGAATCATTCAAAAAAAATTTTGAAGTGAAGAGAAACAACTTCCGCGATGAATAAACCGTATGCTCCATGGTTAAGGTCGCGTGTTTTCACTGTATGGACCGTCGCGCACTTGTTTTGTTCACAAATACAAAGAGTAGCATTTTTTCATTATAAGGCAAACTTTTCCTTTTCATTTCAATTACATTGTGTTTCTGGGCTAATTTGCTTTTAGTAAAGTATTGTCCCTGATCTGTTAATTGGAACTATTAATTTTAATTTTTTCAAGCCGTAACAAAATTCAAATTATAAAATATAAATAATATTCAAAGTTTTATTTATATTATTTGATTTTATAAATAGCTATTTTTATTTGACTAGATGAGATTTTGTTATTGTTTCAAAAATCAGTCACAACTGTCGTGAGGCAGTAAAAACACAAATAATAGTGAACGAGAGAAATTTGCCAAACAATGTTCGCTCTTCCCTATGCGAGCGACACTTTTGGCAGCAAGCTGTGATTGCTTTTCGCGATAGTTTGGGTTCACCGTCTCTTTCGATGTTGAGCGTTTTAGCGAACATCTGCTGTTGTGCCACCCTTTCTCCCCCTCCCCCCTCAAACCGAATTTTCAACTTTTTATGTACATGAAAGTAAAATATAAATTTCAGAAATTTTATATATATTATTTTGTGTCAATTGTTGGATCTGAAGGTGGTTTAGTTTAGAGTTTTACCTGTTATGAGTAGCTGTTGCGAGGATCAGTGTTCTGGGAGTTTGGCGTTGGCCACGCACAGGGCGCATATATGAGCGAGAAAATGAAAAATATTTAAAAATCTGGGATTTATGTCAAGATGTTTTAGTGAATTTGGAAAAAAATTTAAAAATGTGTGAGGAGAAAATCTTTGGTACTGTTTATGAGATTTGCTGGAAATTTCTTAACTTGGAAGTATTTGGTCTAATAGTTTTTAAATTTTAAGTGGACACAAAAATCAATGACGACAATTGAACATTGGAAAGCAAAAGTTTACAGATTATTTGGTTTTCCACAAAGGTTTGTATAATATGTGATTGAAAGTTAAACTCGAGTTTGATTTCACAGAGATGAAAAATTGAAACCAGGCTTAACCATGTTGAAAGAATGGTAAAAGGTTGACCGAAAAAATTAACATAAAATTGTGAATATTTAAATAAAAATTGCAAAAATTCATTTAACAACAAAATATAAAAAGAAAATCAACAGCTTCAAATCTACGGGTGTATGCCCTAGAAATTTCAGTCGGACTCAGTTGCTAAACGAATTTCTTCAAAATTTATTTAAATATCTCATTTTTATTTACAAGTTATTTCCTCCTCATCATATTCAGAATGGAGTCGGTCAATATTTTTTCAACGGGGTTATCCCATTTTAATTTTTCATCAAACATGATGTCTGAATATAAATTCATTTCCTCATGAAGCCTTTTGAGTCATTTATTTTTTGCATAAAAAACTTTTTTCTTTTCTACTGAAAAGATAAATGACTCAATAAAACTCAACAAGGAAAAGCCTGACTTTAAATTAAAACATCATGAATCACATTCTCGATTTTGAAATTCAAAATTATAAACAGCCACTTGATCATAGTCAGAACTGAAAAATTATTTCCACAATTTTTCTGACATAACAGAAAGTGAAATTACACAATTATTTGGAAATTCAAACCGACTGTCTTTTAAATATAACCAAGCGACTGTTCACTAATTAGCCGGGACTTGGGGACACCGTTCGGCCGGCGACGTACCCGGCAGTGTTATCCTCAGGCTGCATGATCGCGGGCTGCTGATTCTCCTTCTCACTGGCGGCATTGTTGGTCTCGGAGGTTTCGGTGATGGTGACCGTCTCGAAGGTGCCGTCCTGACTCTCGCGGCGCTTGCTCGATTTCTTCACCTTGCGCACTTTGCGCTCGGTGGTGATTTGCATCTGCACCTCAACGTCGGCCATCGCTGCAGAATAATTTCAGATCGGTGAAAACTACGACCTGCTAGCAGAGAGCTTGTCGTACAATTGCAGGCGGCTCTCGGCTCTGTAAGCTGGCGCATCCCCACTGCTCTTGGAGCGCCCGCTCCATCCGTGCCGTTCGCCGCCCCGAAACGCGTCTTCTTTCTTAATTTAGACTACAATATCGGGACAAAACATTTATGTTTTATAGGGCGCTTGGAGTGGAAATAAATTCTACCTGTTTGTCTTGAAATTCAGACGCACGATCGTCTGACCTCGATGCGGACGATTTACTTTTAAACTTTTGGATATTTCAAATTTCATCTTGTTTAGAGAGAGAGAAGGGCATGAAAAAGTTTTCAACTGTCAAAATCATAATGAAAAATATTCATTGTCGTCATTCAGGTTGTGTTCACTTAAAATTTGTAATCAGGGTGTTTATTTATAGGTTCTTGATTTGTAATTTTAGCGCTTGTATAAAATTATTATTAATATTTATTACATAATTAATTCACTCTGGCGATTCGTAACGCTGTGTTTTATTTCGTCACCGCCGCTTGCGTTTTTTTCTTATAGTAAATAAATAAAATTTAAAGAAGACATTGCTAGAAATACAGCCTCATATTTAATTAAAATGGTACAGAGCTTGGTGAAAATTTGAAGTTTAAAAGCGAGAGATCTGAGATATAATTCAGTATTTGCCTTCAAAAAAAAAACCCAGCCGTCTGCTTTTTCTTATACTGCACCCCCCGCGGCAAAAGAATCGCTCGTTAAGAAGTTAATGACTCCAACCGCCCCTGTGTGTTTTGTCTGCGCTCTTTTTCATTCAGCTTAGCCCAACCCTCAAAAAGCACTGCACTAAAAATTTTCCCTTTCTTTAAATATTGCGATTTTTGCGCGGATTTACTGAGGTCTTTAATGTTAAATAAATTTCTCTGCATTAGTTATTCCTTTTGAATTCATTAAGTTTATATACAGATGTAAAAATATGTAGTAAAGGAGAAAATATGCAAATAAAGATTCAATATATACTCTCTTATACCTTCAATAATGAAGTTTCCACCGAAATCGACAATTGATAGATACAGTTAAAAATAAATAGTGAATATAACTGATCATCTTTTTAAAAGAGTTTTTATTGTTGCTGATTTTTGCATTTTATGTATGCACTTTTTAAAGTGATGTAACGATGGATTGGAGAAGAAAATAATAATAATAGATGCTAAAATTTTTTTAGAGCAATTTGAATTACTAGTTTTAGGCAGTCCATAAATAAATAAATTATTATTATTATTCCAATGAATTGTTTAACATGGCTGCGGATCTTTCAAATTCTTATTCATGCGAAATTTTCTTGAAATACTGAGAAATCATATGGCATACATCAAATCGTTATTGCAAACGCCTTCTTTTGAATAGTTAGATCTACTGAAGCAGAATTAAAAAGGCCTAATCTCTAAGCAATATCTGGGTTTAAAATCACATTTGAGCGAAGAAAATAAAATATCTACATTTAGGCGCATGTCATAATTATGTATACTGTCGTGTTTATGTGTGTCAATTGAGTCTGACAAAACTATTTGACAGGGTTTTTGGTGAGGTTTTCTTCTGTGATAGGAAGGATGCATTCATGCTTGCCAGTGTCCATCCTTGTTGTATTTTGTGCTATGGAGCGTTGGATGATTGTTCCAGACTGGATTGTTTGTTCTATATTGTAATACATGAACTGGACGTGATTTAATGAGAGGATCAATGAAAAAGGTTTTTAATTGATTGGTATCATATTATATGTTTGATTGCAAACAGGCCTCTGGTTTTTTCGCTGCTTGCAAAGAAAAATGCTTTGGACAAAAATTATCCAGTTTTATCAATTTAATGTAATTTTTTGAGTGTGCACGTGTTGGTGGTAAAAAATGATGTGATGGTGTCACAATTTCAATTGAAAAATAACAAAAGGGGTTTCATAACAAAAGCGTTCAGGTTGAAAAACGTGGAAAAATGCGTGTTTGGTCTTTACCTCAGAAAAAATTGTCTAGTGACAAAAGAAAAGAGAGAATCGGGAAAAAGCGCTGCCCAATTTGAGCGAATTTCTCTTTCGCCTCCCAAACAGAGCAGAGAGCAGAGGGTGAGTGGATGAAAGAACAGCTTAGTTTGCCTAAGACCATTGGGCAGAGTGCAGGTTTATTTAGGTTACAAAGAGGTTTTGCACACGGGCCCACAGCAATCGGTTGGCCTCTCAGCCACTCTTAATATGATTATTTTTTAGTTGTGCCGCCATGGAAAGAGGCATCTACGCACACAGCGAGCGGCGCAGCAGCATCGCCAGCACTGCACACGGCACCAAGCATTTTCGCGCTCAACTTCCAAATGCAACTTTCCTTGCAATAAAACGAAAACAAAAGGGTCAGTGACCTCGGTTTATTCCATAAATTTGGGAATTTATTTTGAGATGCAAATTATACGCAAAGGAGCTTCGTCGTTGCGACTTTTGGATCTGGGGAGAGGCGTTTCGCTTTCAATGCGCGCAACTGACAGCAAGCAGCTCCCTTAATTTCTGGAGCCGCCGCTGAGTGTGCGAGATGAAGAGGCTAAATAAGGAGCGAGTAATGTGTGACGTAATGGTTTTGAATTTCCAGAAATACTCTGCGAGGCTAATATTGCGTGAAAGAGGCTCTGCAATCAATATATTTCACTTAAATAAAGTTATTTTTATTCTTAACTCGGAGTTGAAGCAAAATAACTCTCAAAATTAAATTCTGTTTACCTAAATACTTGTTTTGTAACAGTTTAAATTTTTCTAAAATCTCTAAAAGAGCTTCAATCTATTTTAAATTTTTATATTGACATAAATAAATAAATATTTTTAGGATTTCAATATTTTTCTGCTCCTGGAAAACGTCAAACGTAAAAGAGAAAGGGAATGTCTCTGATGTTAACTGCATCAGCCACACCTGTTTTCTCTACAACCTGCTGAACGGAATTGTGAGCGCTGGCTCTCGATTTCAAGCTCATTGTGAGACAATTTATTATAATCTTTTTGGTATAAAATATCAAATAATTAAATAATTTACATATATTTTTTGCATCATAATTTTTTTCATTAAGAGTATTAATTTAATAATTTTTCTTCCAAAACGGCTATCACCGTAGTTGGTAGAGCTTTTGTTGAGGGGATTGGATTTTTATACATTTTCATCATGATAAAAACAGATAAAAACTAAAGAAATATTTGAAAAATAAGTGGGCTCTCTAACTCAAATTTTGTATCTTTTGCCTGGGACATCAGGCATTCAATTTTTATTGGAAAATGAAATTTAATAAAAAAGAATTAATCAAAAGGAAAAATTAAACAGCCAAATAAATATTATTAATTTAATGGTAAAAATTAATTTTGTTTAACTGTACTGGAATTATTTGTTTTTGTGTAATAAGTGATAATTAGCTCACAGCCTAACTCTGAGCGGACCTCTCTTGAGGCCCCCGCGTTTTATCAACTTGTTTGCTAGAGGTGTTCCCTAATCCCTCCATTTATTTCTGACTTGACTTGAAAAAATAAATAATAATAATAAAAATACCAGCTCACTTGTGAAATTTGCAGTTGGCATTGCATGAGAGTTGCACACTGAAGATATAATTAAACAGAAATATCATCATGCCAGTGGATACACAAACTTAAAATTAGTTTGAGAGATGAGACTCTGGGGTGACCAATATGGATGTAAGAGCGCGCATAGCAATTGGCCCCGAACGCTGCGTGCAGGCGATAAAAGCAGGCACCCCCTGTAGCCGCAGAACCCAATTTGGCCGTGACGTCTCATGAACCGCGTCATCAAACCGTGGAATGACCTGCCATCCCTTCCAAATGATGTACCGCGGCACAGTTTTCACCATTTGGAAATGTTTTAAACGTGTTTTTAAGTCACCGCAAACTCCTTGGCGTCTGTGCAATTTCAAAATCATTTGATTTGATTTTCCCCATTCGAAAGAATAAAGGCCAAATGAATGGCCCATTGTAATTTTTGTAATGTTTTTTATGTCTATGTTTTCCACAAACTACTTGCGATGCCGTGAATATTTTTTATTAAATTGCTTGCTGGTTGTAATTTGTGAGAAGAAATGCTGAATAATTGCCAATAAATTTTTAGGCTGTGCTTTTTTTCCATTCATCCCTTCTAACTACCAACTTTTCCTATGTATTTCTGGTTATATTTTAATTTTATATTTTTATAATTTGATGAAAGACTGTTTTCAATTCATTTTAATTCTGAATGAAGAATCAATAAAATGAATATTTTTTTATATAAAGTTTGAAATCTAAACCTGTAAAATTTGGCATATTGCAAATAGAAAATGATCTGATGCTTGATTTTTATCAAGCCTTTTCACTTTTCTATTTTCTTGTAGAGGCCACACTGATTGAGAAATACCATTCATTGATTGAGGAACAAATTAGCCAATTTACAAAGAGCCAACAAAAAGCTAACATAAAAACAAAATGAAATGAATTGATGACAATAAAATTGTGTATCATATCCTGCCTGCTTGTCCTTACACGCAACGCGGATAACTCCGCTTCAATATTTGATTTCTTTCAATAAAAAAATATCTAAAAAAAATAATAATAAATAAATCACTCACCTCATCACAAGCTGCACATCGTGGCTTCAGATGCTCAGCATAATGGCGCTCACAGTACAGTTCTTCGTCATGCACACAATAAGTTAAGTCCACAAGTAATTCTAAACACGAATCACAGGTAAAGCA